CTTGGTTGAAGAAGGAATAGTCTTTATTCAACAAACACAACACTATGAGCTAAGCGGTCCACAGAGAAACTCCAAAACTCAAATGCTACCGGCAAAGTCCAAAGAAAAACTGAGCAGCTGCCAGCAGAGTAAACATGCTCTATTTTTAGATGCAAGTTCTGCTAGCTAGCTTCTGCTTCACAAACTGCAGGACACACAATAGCAATGAAACTAAAAAGATACATTGGTGCACATGTGGACCAACGCCATCCACACAGAGCTTGTTTACAAAGAAAAGTCAAGGGAGCCTGACTAAATTATCCTATTTTCCCCACAACCCTTAACACACTCCAGATAAAACTTACATACAGGCAAATATTAACTAACACAATTAAATCAAAGGTAGAAACAAGGATGTAAATAAAGGGAAGGACAAAGAATCCAGCCATTACACTAACTGCACCCACACAGAACATGTTTACAGAGAATGTGCTGCACCACCCTGAACCACACATAAGGCTAGGGGGCCTGACTAAACTATTCTGTTTTCCCAACACTGTTTATTTTGGAAAAATAATCTTTGGAAAGTATAAACTAGAAACTAATGAAATTGGTTATCTACTAATAACCAAAAGAAGTTGGGGGAAAACAGGGTGGATGGGATAAGGGCGGGGGGACACTTGTTTGGGTATACTTTTTTATACCATTTTGGTTATTGGAATCATACTATTNGGGGGGACACTTGTTTGGGTATACTTTTTTATACCATTTTGGTTATTGGAATCATACTATTTTTCTAAAAATTAAAAAAATTATAAGTCAACAAGGATTTGGGAAAAGCCCTAAAACTGTTTGGAAATGGAAATAAACAGACACAACATTATTTCAATGGAATAATATAACTACATCAAAGGGAGAAATAAAAACAATCCTGAGTAACTTTTCAACATAGTGCTTTAATTCTGCATACCCTCATCTGAAGAAAAAAGTGCAAAGATGTCTTAAACTTTCCTGGTCATTCTTTTTGTAATGATATGGATACAGCCATTTAAAATTAATTGTTTTTGTGTATTACAAGATTGAGCAAATGAATAAATATATTGTTTTTGTTTGTTTTGTGAGCCATGATCCTCACCATGAAGTAAGAAGACACAAATATGGAATAGAAAAGGGCAAGAAACATCACTGAAGAATTGGTTTGGCTTGGAGGTATCAAGATAGGCAGATAATTTAAAAATGCATATTTACCAATCTGTCTTTCCCTAAACCAATGGCATTCCAATAGTAATAGAAACCATCTAGATCCTGGTTTCTAAATGTTATTCTTGAATTTCTCACTTAAAGACACCAGAAGTCCTTAAAGGGGAGCCTGGAACATCTTATATTGCCAAAAAGAAAGAGCTATAAAAACAAAACAAAACAAAACAAAACAAAACAAAACAAAACAAAACAAAAAACAGCCAAATACCAAAAAAGACAAAGGAGATCTTGAAGGAATTTCTTCCTTAGCCAAATCTGGGACAACTTGAGCACCAAAATAAATAAGGACATCAATAAATTATAACCCAATGAGTAAAAGGCAAAAAATTCATTAGTTGCTTGAAGCATGGAACCCTGAGCATTTTCTGATATTTAAACCTGCCCCCTTCTGCTGGAGAAATTGTTTTAGAAATTTTATTCTCGTCTGTCTTAATCATGAACTTTGGCTTCTGTAACCTAACTTGCTTCCTGCACCCATGTGCTAACGAAAGGTAACAGTGGTTTTGTGCCACCCTAAGGGCCGAAGCAAATTTGGTTCCAGAACTGACCAATGAGCTATGTCTCATAGCCAACCAATCTGAATTAACAGACTTGCATCCCTCATTTAGATAAGAGGATCTAAATGAGAACTTGGGCAGGAAGTTTTGACTATATAAGGCTGCCCCTTTTCTTCATTCAGGGAGACACTAGCCTGATGCTTGTGCTCTCCCTGCTTGCAAGCAATAAAGCACTGTAACAGCAAAAAGAGCTATAAATGAATAAAGAGCTGTAATACCAATGTTGGTCTTGGAATCCTCTGTGCAAGCACCTCCCAACATTTGGATGCCCCAGTGAAATTTCCTGCCGCTTACTCAAAGGAACCAGAAACCGCAGCTCCAGGTGAAGGGCAACATAGTGAGTCTTCCTAGGGAATACCATCAAGAAGATGCTCCTTGGCCCCAGGATTGGTCACAGTATGGATCCTAGGGGAGGCCACCAAGAAGATGTTCCTCAGCCCCGGGATCCTTTGGCTCCTGCCCAAAAGCCCAAACATCACCAAATACTTCAATTGGCTTCAGTTGACACCAGAGTCTTTGTTCATCTTTGTTTGTCCTCCTACTCTGTGTCTTGAACCTCTGGAGGTAAG